GTATTTTTCTACTTTTTAGTACGTTTACGTGTACGTTTCGGGTTTGTTCCTGGCGCCAGTCAGAAGTCGTAACTTGCTAACCATAAAAAAGTGGGGGTTGCGGGGGTGGGAGGTAGGCTAGTTTCGAACTGGGATCGGTTAATTGAATGAAGCTCAAACGAAGTAAGGGCACACGAAAAGTAAGTCATGGGATGGGATATCTACCCGATAAACTAGATGTGCGCAGAATGAAAAGACGTAGTAAGTATAGATCTAGATCTACATTTTGAAAGATGTGAGGCTTCACAAAGACATCCAACAAGAAAATGCGTTCATGCAGTCGCAGTTTGAAGTTCGGGGATTTCCGATTTTCCGCTGGGGCAGGATGACGTGTGCAGCATAGCATTGGGCCTAGCCTAAAACCGCCGGATGAAAAACGTGGGGTTGGACTTTCCGAGTAGATCTAGGCCTATGGGGTAAAGCATGCGGAAGGTCTGGACTCTTCAAAATTTTTCACAGAGGCTATTTTTCCTGTGCTTTGTGATTATCAAACGTTTTTGTTTTTTTGGTCAAAGTGGGCCGGGTAACTCAAGTAACTGGCGGAATGCGAGTGCAAGTGGGATGTTTTACCATCTAATAATTATTGTTAAAAAGACAGTCAACTTGTTATTGCTTTGTCAATAGGGCCTACGCTAAAAACAAAATACAAAGACCACCCCCCCCTCCCAAAAAAAAAAGAAAAACCCACTAGAAATAAATAAGACAGCGAACATTGTGGAATCCCCGTGTGTGGGCGATCGGCGATGAAAGGCGGGGATCTCCGTAATTTGTGGTATTAATTAATTTGTAAAAATATACTTTTTAAAATTGTTACTTTAATTATTCCGATCAAGAATCTGATACATGTGCAAGAAGTTACAAAGTCTGCAGAGGCACGTTTAATTATTTGTGCTGAATTCCGTCAAATTATAATATTATTATAATTTGGTGACTTAGCCCTGAACACGCCACGAACAACCTCTTCCAAGTTTCTGTTATTATTGTTCTTGTTTGTTTGCTTTTTGTTGTTGTTGTTGTTGTTGGTTGTTGTTATGTAATTGTTGGGTTGTTTTGTTATTTCTAGTGTGGGTTTTTTGTGAGTTTTTCGGGGGGGGGGGGGGGGGGGGGGGGG